TCCGCCATCAGCAGATCCACACCAGAGAGAAGCCTTACAGGTCCTTGAAATGCAGGAAGAGCTTCAGCCACAGCTGGTGACCCACTGAAGCCTGAACCAAGGTTGACCTTTAGACGAACCTTTCAACCTAACATTGTATTGTCATGTGTCCGCTTATCAGCAAAATCTATGTATGCTTGTTAGTAAAATAGGTACTGTGATAAGACTACACCTGTGTAAATATGTGTGCTTATTAGTAAGATATATTTTTGTTCTCTCATTAGTGAATAACATTTGTATCTGTTCATTAATGAAATATGTACAATTGTCAGCAAAATATGAGTATATTTATCTTTCTGTTTTAGAGACTAGTCAAAGCCATGGAAGTAGATCCCTGGCCTTGTTTGGCAGCAGATGGTGCAGGATGACTCCCTTGGTTTTTCTCTTAAGCCCTGGCCAGGCTTTGGGTGAAACCCAAGGAGAGAAGGAAGCCAGATGTTTTCCACACTAGTGGTTATGTAAGTTTGTTTGTTCAACAGTATAAAAGCTGGACCCTCTCACAGCAAAGATGGAGACCTCCCCTATGATTGGATGGCCTGCATAGCACTTCTCAGATCCCGAGAGGGGTTCTCTGACCCTTTGCTATGACCGGGGTTCCCCAGGTGACCTGCAGGTCTGGATGCTGGTAATGTAGCAGGGTATTTCTTAGTGACTGTAGGCAGTCTTTGTAGTAATGATGAGGTGCATTACTGAGCTTATCTTTTTGCAATTGTTTACTGTTTTGCATTAAAGTAACATTACGCACTTGTTCCTTAAGGTTGGTGTCTGTGTCTCTTGTGCTGACCCTCATCCCCTTGGCAAAACAACTTGAGGTGTCACCGTGTGCTTGTCTGTGACCTCTCTACTTCTGAGCAGGCTGGAGACACCTCTGATGTCACCATGGAACCCCTGTTACTGTGCATGACTTAATGGATCTTTAGGACCCGAGAGACCTCTGGGATGTCATCATGCAGCACCTGTCACAGCCAGTGACCTCATGGCTCCTTAGAAGCCCTAGAGACCCCTGGAAAAACCTGGATGACAACTTAATGAAACAGATCCTAAGGGAACTGACTCGGATCAGTGCCCTCCTTGATCTGCTACTTGTCCACAGAGAGGATCTCATGAGCAAGTGGAGATTGGGACCATCTTGGCCACAGCAACCATGAAGGGATCGAGTTTAAAATCTCTGTTGACAGGAGGAGAAATGCCAGCAAAACCTCACCTCTGGCCATGAGGAGAGCAGACTTCAGGATTGAAAATGTTTTTTGCACATGCTGGGGTCCATCAGCCCATGGCTGGGCAAACACATCATGGGGTGGATGAGCAATTGGCTCATGGGTCGAGCACAGAGGGTGACATCAGACTGGTGACCTGTCACTAGTGGGGTTCCATAGGGCTCAATCTTGGGCCCTGTGCTCTTCAACATCTTCATAAATTACTTGGACACAGGACTGGAAAGGACACTTTGCAGATGACACAAAACCGGGAGAAACTGTTGACTCCTTTGAAGACAGGGAGGCCCTGCAGAGAGACCTGGACAAATCCGGGGACTGGGCAATCACCAACCACAGGAAGTTCAACAAGGAGAAGTGCTGGGTTCTGCCCCTGGGATGGGGCAATCCTGGATGTACGGACAGACTGGGAATGAGAGGCTGGAAAGCAGTGCCAGAAAAGGGCCCTGGGGGTCCTGGTTGGTGGCCACTTGGCCACGAGTCAGTGTTACGACCCGCCCCAGAAAAAGGGGAGGAGTGTAACCCAGGTTCTTATCAATAATTCCCTTGGGGTGGATTAGAGTGAAACGACACTGAATAATCAGTGTCTGAAAACATATATTGGTAAGGTTTATTTTAACAATTTTGTATCAACAGGTATGCTAGCATTTTGGGTGTTGTCATATAACAATGTGACATAGAGATAACCTTTGGGGGGGGAGAAAATGCATAGGGGAGAGAAAGACAGGATAAGAGTAAGGGAGAGTAATGAAAAAGAAAAGCTGAGAGTGGACAAAATGTATATAGTCACCACCCACGGGGTCCAACAATGACACTTGGGAGTTGCCGCTTCTATGTCTGTCAGTTGAAGTGGTGGCCTTGATCTGCTGAGGGTGAAGGAGGGAAGCCCCCACACGCCAAGAAGTTATGAGTTATTATATCCATGGTTAGTGTCATGGGCCATGCCTCCAGCCTCCAAACTCTCCCCTGGGCCTGCGCAGTTTCTGTGTCTGGCCTGGTTCCCACCTTTTTAAGATTGGCAGAGGAGGGGATGGGCTTTTACGGGTCATCAGAGGTCCTGCCTTTTCAGGCAGGGCTTGACACCTTCAGCACTGGAGGGAGGGATGGGCCCAATTGCCCATCAGAGGTATAATACAACAGTCAAAAGCCTGCAAACTTGGCTCTTCACTGGAGGGAGGGACAGGCCCAACTGCCCATCAGAGGTACAATGCAAAGGTCTAAATCTTGCAAGAGTCTCCTAGAATGCATAAATCTTCAATCATTTCAGTCTCTGACAGTCAGCAGGGCCCTGGCAACCAGAAGGGACAACCCTGTCCTGGGGGCATCAGGCCCAGCATGGCCGACCGGGCCAGGGAGGGGATTGTCCCGCTCTGCTCTGCCCTGGGGCGACCTCACCTCAATATTGGGGCAGTCTGTAGGGACACAATGGAAGGGACAGATTGAGCCATTAGAGAGTGTCCAAAGGAGCGTAATGAAGATGAGGAAGGGCCTTGATTTGAAACCATGTGAGGACACTGAGGGCACTTGGTGTGTTCAGCTGGAGCAGAGGAGACTGAGGGGAGACCTCATGGCAGTTCCAGCTTCCTCAAGAGGGGCAGAGGAGGGGCAGACCCTGAGCTCTGCTCTATAAAAGTTGAGGGAAAATTTTGGAAAATCAAGGAGAGAGGAAAGGGAGAGAGAACATTGAAGCTGAGAATCTCTCCCCACCTCCCCCTCACCTTTCCTCCGCCAGTGGGTGCTGCCAGCAGGTGCTGCCACTGGAGAGTGGAGCTGTGCCAGCGTGGAGAGGACTGAGACCCACCGTGCCACCTGCGTGAGTTGTATCTTATCCTTCCACCCTGACCATATTTCTGAGGGCCGAAAGGTGCGGCTGAACCAGGACCCTGCACGGCCTGGGACATGGCTCAGCATGAGCAGGGAAACCACACATCCTGGCTGCATTCCAGAGAACTAAAACTACTAACACCTCCCCCAGCTAAAGAGATAACATCGAAAAGCAGCAGAGACAGAGAAAATAAAGGGCAGAAACTGCTTCTCCCCCCCCCAACTTGGCAGAAAGGTAGTTTTGGTGGTATTTTTTCTCTGCTTCTAGAAGTAATCTTAGCATTTTCCAACCTTTTCTTATTTTTTCCTCTTTCCTCTTTGCATCTCTTAGCAATTAATAAAATCAGTTTTGATATCAATGGATAACTTGTGTGGGTTTTAATTTTGTTCAAGAGAATATTCAAATCTGAAGTTCTTTCTGCAACATTTAAGCAGATTGTAACAATACTATAAAAGCCCAAATTTTAATGGAAGGATCTTCTGAATTATCCCTTCTTGGAGTGCAGAGATTCCTCCTCGGAGTGGGGACGCCCCTCAAGATCACTCCTTTACCCACAATTGTTGGTCTGGGTGAGTCACATCAACCTCTACTTGATTTTGCCAGCTTTACTATAATTGCTTCAATATTGCTTCCTAGTGCTCTATACTCTACTAATAGTTGTAGCTCCTACACGGTGTAGTAAATAATTCTAATTAAGGTCTTTTTGTCTAATCATTATCAGAATAAATCCTATATATTTATATAAATGTATTTGCTTTGCCATCCTTAATCCTGTGGGATAAAGTTGTATAAAGGCCCACTGGGCTCCCTGCACACCCAGTCTCCCCCAGTCAGACCAGTTTCCCCCCTGGCCCCAGGGCCCCAGTGAGGGCCCTGAGTCCTTTGAGAGGTCAAGGATCATCCCCATTCCCCACATTCCTACCCATTCTTGCCCTTTCCCACTTAATTTTGCCCATTCCAGTCGCTTCCTGCCCTCCAGGACACCACCTGAAGCTGCCACTGGGATCTTGCCCACGTTGGCTGGGCTCCAGCACCCCCAGGTACCTGTGCCAGGTGTGTTCCTCCACACATGGATGTCACAGGGACATCCCGGAATTATTAATTTTAAGGTTGTACCAAATCTGGGTGGTTTTGGGGACTATTTGCATGATTGCGTAATGACACTGAAATTCATCAACCAATGGGAAGGAAGGGGGCAGAGCTGGAAAGTTCTGTGGGCAAATACGGTGAAAAGTCCTAAGTTGTAACCACGGGAGGGCAGAGTGGGCAGCCCTGTTGGATTGGGGGTTCTGGGGGAATGGGGGGCCCAGGAGATGTGATTAAGGGGATTGGAGTCCCAGGGAATGGAGGTCCCAGGGAATGGGAGTCCTGGGATGCAGGTGCAAGGGAGGGGGACCTAGGGAATGGGGTTACCACGGGAATGGGGGTCCTAGGGACAGGGAACGGCTGAGTGGGCACGGGGGTCACGGCTCCTTCATTGGTGGCCTCAGACTTTGGGCTGACCAGGGTCTGGGGCAGCCTCCCAGGGGTACTTGTGCCCTGGGGGGGGCACCCGAGGAGGATTCTGGGGGCTCGGGAGGGTTCCAGGGCTGTTCCCCCCCTTGCCCTGCCCTCAGGCTTTTCCTTCTCTTTATTTCTACGTTTTTCCATATTTTCCTGACTTTTGCCCCCTCCAAAGCCCCCTCTCCCAGGTCCTGGCTTGGCGAGCGGAGAGGCCACTAGAGCAGCTCCTGCCCAGATCCTGCACCTTCCCACTCCAGACAGATCTGTGCCCACACAAACAGACCCACCGCAGGTGCAGGCAGGTGACCCCAGGTGATTTTGGGGTCTTTTGGCTCACGTTTGTATGTTTCAGTGATTTGGGGGGTCTTTGGCCTCATTTTCATGGTCTTTGGGCTGATTTTGGGGGGTTTGGGGCCCATTTCTTGGGTGATTTAGGCTGATTTTGGGGGTCTTTGGGCTCATTTGTGGGTGTTTTGGTTCAATTTTGGGGTGTTTCAGTGAATTTTTGGGCATCTTTTGGCCCATTTTGGGGACTTAAGACTCATTTTTGGGTTCTTTGGGCTGATTTTTGGGAGTTTTGAGCTGATTAGATGGGTATTTTGGATCATTTTGGATGTCTTTGGACAGATTGGGGGGGGGTTGGCTCATTTAGGGGGACTCTAGGCTGATTTGGGGGACTTTGGGCTCACTCTTGGGGTGTTTGGAACTATTTTTTGGGTCTTTTAGCTCATTTTCCAGGTCTTTGACCTGATTTTGGGGGTCTTTTGCCTCATTTTTGCCTCATTTTTGAGATCATTGGGCTGAGTTTTGGGGTCTTTTGGGTAATTTTTTGGGTCTTTGGCTGATCTTGTGGTCTTTGAGCTGATTTTTGGGGCCCCAGAGACTTTGCCACTTTTGAGAAGAAAACAAAGATTATTCCTAAAAAATGTTATTTTTTTTAATTCACCAAAGGGAAAAACAGGAATTCTGGGGATTTTCCTCAAAAACTCCTATTTTCAAGCCGTGTTTTGGGGCTCCAGGACAATTCTGGGACTCAAATTTAAAAACAACCTCTGAAAAGTGAAGTGAAAAGTCCCCAAAACACAGAAAAATCACCCACAAAATCCCACTTCCTTTTTTATTTTTTACATTTTTTGACGTTTTTCCTGTTTTTGGGGGGACTTTTCAGGGCTCAAATATCACAAAAACAGCTCGAAAGGACTGAAAACAACCAGAAAAAAGGGATTTACATGGAAACTGGATCAGAGGTAAGGAGGGACCACATAATATGGAGCTGGGGAGCCCCAAAATGTTGATTTTAGGAGGTGAGATTTGGAACGGGGGAGGGGGGAGCCCACAACGTGGACCTGGGAATTCGGCAGCCTAAAAATGAGGAGTTTGGGAGGGGGGATCCCAAAATTTGGAGCTGAGGAACTCCAAAATGTGTATTTGGGAAGTGGAGAATCCCAAAATGTCAATTTTGGGAAGGGGGATCCCAAAATTTAGAGAGAGAGACCCAAAAATGTGCATTTTGGGAACAAAAGAACCTCACATTTTGGTGTTTGGGAACAGGGGAACCCAAAACATGGAATTTGGGAATTGGAGACCCCAAAATTTGGAGTTTGAGGGGGGACCACAAAATATGGAGTCTGGCAACCCCAAAATTTGGATTTGGGAAGGGAATACAAAATTTGGAGGGAGGGAACCCCAAAATGTGGAGTTTGAAAAGGGGGAACACCAAAATATGGACCTGGGATTTGGGGAACCCTAAAATATGGAATTTGGGAAACAAGAAACCCCAAGATTTGGATTTTGAGAAGGGAGATCCCAACATTTAGAGATGGGGAGTCCCAAAATGGGGTTTTTTGGAAGGGGGATCCCAAATTTTTGAGGGATGGATCCCAAAATTTGGATGGGGAGACCCCAAAATGTGAAACTTGGGAATGGGCACCCCAAAATGTGGATTTCGAGGGGTCATGGCCCCAGGGCTGCTAAAATTCATGTGTTTTTTTTTAAATTTCAGATTTTCCCACAGACTCCAGTGGATCCATGATGCCACTGCTTCAGGTATGGCTGGGCTCAGGATTTGGGGATCTTTTGGGAATTTTGAAGCATTTCGGGGTAAAAAAAGGGATTTTTTTCCCAGAACCAGAAAATTTTAATTCTTAAAAAATTCAAATGAAATTAATTGAATTAAATCCAAAACCAAGGAATTTGGGGGATTTCAGCCTAAAAAGTCAGTGGGAAAAGAGGAATTTGGGATGTAGTAACTGGGATGGGAGTAGGTGACGCCTCCCATGGTTCCCCCCCCCCCAGATCTTCCTCCTCTTACTTGGCCTTGGAATTCTGGGAATTCTGGGAATTCCAGTGGTGGAAGTGCCAGAAAGTAGGCTCCTGGATGCCCTCAGTGAGTCTTGGGCCCTCCCAGTCCCTTCCAGTCCCTCCCAGTTCCCTCCCTCCCAGTATGTCCCAATGCCTTCCAGTTCCCCCAATCCCCTCCCATTATATCCCAGTTCCCTCACAGCATATCCCAGTCCCAAGCCTGTTTATCCCAGTGCCCCCCAGTCCTCTCCCAGTGACCCCAGTTCCCCTTCCAATAAATCCCATTTCATGCCCAGCCCCTCCCAATTCACTCCCAGTGATCCCAGTTCCCCGCTCAGTACATCCCAGTTCCCTCACAGTATATTCCAGTCCCTCACAGTGCCCACCAATCCCTTCCCGGTGATCCCAGTTCCTCTCCCAGTGACCCAGTTCCTCCCTCTCCCAGTCTATGCCAGTGCCCCCCAATCCTCTCCCAGTGTCCCCTGTCCTCTCCCAGTAGCCCAGTCACTGACCCTTGACCCCAACTCCAACCCAACCCCACCCACCTCTTCCAGAACATCCCTCTGGCCTCTCCAGTCTGGGACAGAATTCCCTCCTTTTCCCAAAAACTCCTTCCCTTTTTTCAACCCCCCCCCCATTACCTCCTCAGACACTCCCATCCAAAAGCAAGACCAGGGCCCCCCTTCCCACCTCAAGTGGGAGCCCTTCCAAGGCCGTCTTCCCCCCGATGCCGTCTCCAGCTGGAACCGCCATACCAGGCGCCTGGAATTCGTCTGTTCCACGATGGAGCTCAGCTGCAATTCCGGCTCCTACGATCCCATCAGGGGCCCCTATTGCTACTTCCCAAACAGGGGACAGGAGAAGCACACTTCCAACTTCAACATCTTGGTCAACTCCGGCGGCTTTGAGGCCTTGGATTGGGTGGATGATTCCTTTGGCACCGTCCCAGAAAATGCTGTGGAGAGTTGCCCAACGATCGACGTCTTCGTGGGGCGGAGCCGGGACGGGCTGGGAAAGGTCTCCAAGGAGCACCGGGCGCTTTTCGTGGCACTGGGGGGGGAGGAGGTTTGGTACAAGTGGTATCAAGTCTTAGTGGTCAAGACGGGTCTGTCCGACATCTCCATCGTGGATGTCGCCTACAACCTGAGCACGGTACTGGAACATTCTGAGGATGTGGTCTTGGCCAAGGCTCCGGTGCAGAACGAAGGCTGTGGGGTAGCCCCAGGGTCCACCTTCTTGGAAGAGGCCACAGAGGCGGAGCACACGTGGCGCTCAAATCACCCCGCGCTGGCCACCGTGCGCGGGACGCTGCAGGCGGCCCCGTTGGTCCTCACCGGGACGGGCTGGGCCGTGGCAAATGTCACCTCCCTGCCGTGGGTGGGCGGGGCCAGCATCGCTAAGTTCGTGTCCCACAGGCCCCACGAGGTGCGGGAGGAGGTGCCGGCGCGCTCGGAATGCACCGCGGTGCTCCGGGGACGCCGGCTTGACCTCCAGGTGATGTTCACTGCCCAGCTCCGCCGAGAATTCCATGATGGATTCCAGCACAGTGTGGGGGTCACTGGCTGGGCACAGACCCGAGTGGTCACTGGGGTCAGTGCCAGGATTGAGCAGTGTCGAGAACTTGCCAGGGTCCTGCCGTGTCCAGCATAGGGAGGGACCTATGCTGGACTTTGGGCTGGATCCCAAAAATTCCTCCACAAAGATTTTTCCTGGTGTTTTTCCCCTGAATAATCCCACAAAATGCAATAGCAGCAACTTGGAATGCAGGGCAATGCTTGGATTTGGTGGGTTTTCCCATATTTTTGCTTTTTGTGGCACAACCTTTATCCCTTTCTGAAACCACATGGTAAAACTGTGCAAAAACATGGCATTTTCTGACTGAATTTCCTGTTTTCTCCAAAAATTCTGTGGAATCTGGTATGGGGGGTCCCTGGGACAGTTCAGAACTGGAGGGTGGAGAGGGATTGGGAGTCCTGGAATGTTGGGAGGGGTGTCTCAGAGATCTGAGGGGACCCAGGGAGCTTGGGAGGAACACAAGGATTTGGGAATGCCCCAAATTTTGAGGGGGGAGAGAAAAGATTTGGGGAGACCCCAAATTGCCTGAAGGGAGGGAGACAGGGATCTGGGAAGACCTCAAATTTCCTGGGGGAGGGGGGTGTCCCCAGAGAGGTGAGGGGGGCCAGGGGGCTGGGAGCAGTCCAGACCCACCCCGGGTGCCGTTTGCCATCCAACTGCTCCAGGAATTCCGCACCGGCTCCGGGCACAGTGAGGGGACACCAGGTGGACACCAAGGGCGAGCGGGGCCAGCAACTCACCAGGGTCCTGCTGTGTCTGGTGGAGGGAGGGGGCAGAACCCCAAAATCCATTTTTTCCTGGAGAATTCTTTGGTTTTCCCAAAAAAAGTCTTACAAAATGAGGGTGAAATAAACGAGAACGCCAGTTTTCCCATCTGCATTCTCTGTAGAATTTAAAAACTTGAATTTAAAATTAATTTCAAAACTTTAATTACGTTTCCTTTACAATTTTAATTCCTTTTTCTTCAATAAATGTAAATAATTTTTTAAAATATTTTTAAAAAATTAATTCATTAAAACTTTTGAAAATTAAATTTCAGGGAGCATTTACCTCCCACCTCCTCCTTCTTTGATCTTGTTGAAAAAAAAGATGAAGAAGTTAATTATTCCATAAGAAATCAATAAATATTAAATTATACTGGTCAAAGGATCAGAAAAAATATTTATTTTAACAGAGTTTTTTTAATTTTAGAATATTTTAGAAATTCCCCAAAGGAAAAAGACCTGTTGAAAAATCAAGACTGAACTGAAAAATTTCCTCTATAATTGATTTATTATCAAACCAATACATGGCTTCTGAGATTGTTATTTACACTTTACATATAAATTTATAAAATAGATATATAAAATATTTCTAAGGATAAAATATTACAAAATAAAAAATAAAGTATTATATAATATAAATAGAAAATACATTTACATAAATAGAAATATATAAAGTATAATTTATCATAAAATTATTATATTGCACATAAAATATATTAAAATATTTTTGAAAATAAATATATTTATCTATTTTATTTATTTTAATATATTTTTACAGATATTTATATGTTTTAATAGATTTTTATATAATATTTATATTATAGAGAGAGTCATATATAACATTTACATATTATATATTCATATCATTACATAAGAATATAAATAGATATTATATAATAAATGAATTACATACATGTATTAATATACATCTATGTATATGGGTTTGCATGGCCAGGTTTTGGTAGCAGGGGGGGTTACAGGAGTGGCTTCTTTGAGAAGCTTCCAGAAGCTTCCCCCATGTCCAGCAGAGCCAATTCCAGCAGCTCCAGGACAGACCCACCAAGGCCGAGCCCATCAGGAGTGACAGAAACGTCTCTGTGATAACATATTTAAGAAGGAGAAAAAAAAGTGATTGGGCAGATGAAATTGCAGCTCGAGAAGAGCAGAGTGAGAACGCGTAGCCAGCTCTGCAGACACCAAGGGCAGCGCGGGAGGAGGAGGAGACCATGGGCAGGAGCTGTGCCCCTGCAGCCCACAGGGCACCGCGGGAGTGCAGAGATCCACCCCCACCGGAGCAGGGGGTGCCCGAAGGAGGCAGGGACCCCATGGGAGGTCCCTGCTGGAGCAGGGTCCTGGCAGGGACCTGCTGACCCACGGGGAGAGGAGCCCACGCTGGAGTCGGTTTTCCTGGTAGGACCTGTGGCCCTGTGGGGGACCCACGCTGGAGCAGCCTGAGCCTGAAGGACTGACCCCATGGAAAAATGACCCACGTTGCAGCAGTTTGGGAAGAACTGTTGCCCGTGGGATGGGTTCATGTTGGAGAAGTTGGTGAAGAACTCTCTCTCGTGGGAGGGACCCCACAGGATCAGGGGAAGGACTCCAACTCCTCTCCCTGAGCAGCAACAGGAAGAGCAACTGACTGTAACCCCCATTCCCTGTCCCCCTGCAGCAGTGGGTGCGGAGGAGGGAGAACTTGGAAGGAAGGAGGGGTGGGGAAAGGTGGTTTTAAAATTTATTTTACTTCTCATTCTCCTGTTCAGATTCTGTTGATAATATATTTATTTAATATCCCCAATTTGAGTCTGTTTTGCCCATGATGATGATCAGTGAATGATCTCTCCCAGTCCTTATCTCAACTCATCAACCTTTCGTTATATTTTCTTTCCTCTGTCCAGTTGCAGAAGGGACTGAGAGAGCAGCTTTACTGGGTACCTGGCCTCTAGCCAGAGCCAACCCACTACACTGGACTGAGCTGACCCTGCAGGGAGAGGGGTTCCTGACCCCACTGCTGTGAAAACCTGTAGGGAACCGAGATTCTATGACCCTTGGAGAAACTCAGAAGGGGAACTTGGCAAGATAAATGCGGATGTGGTGAGATATATCCCTGTGTGTGGGAAATTGTTTGGGACTATGTTTCTCATGGACAGTGAATGCTTAACTAAAAAGCAGATACAGAGAAAAATTACCAAGAGGAATTTACTGCTGATGTAACATGGTATATAAACCGTGAAGGAACTGCAATAAATTATTCCATTATACCACACTCCTTGGGGTCCATGCCCCAGTGTGCCACAAATGTCGCCCAAGTGGAGCATGCAAAATTAATCCAGAAAATATAGCCGGAATTCCAGTGGCATAGCCCAGTTGAACCAGGACAGTGACCCGGGACAGGATTTGACTGTGTGCACCCATCACCGCTGCAGGACAGCAGGTGAGCAGCTGGGAACCATGGGAATCACTAACACGGGAACAAAAAAATCAGATGGAGGTACTCACAAAGATATTAAAGATATATGGCAGTAATGTCTGCCAGTTGTCGTTGGTAACGCTGCTGGTTTGGGTACGTGACAATTGCTCCTGGTTTCCTCTAGAGGGAAACTTGAATGTTGCCGTATGGAAGCGAATTGGGGAAGAGCTGGGGCAGAAGCCAGATGAAAAAGCTTTAAATTTATTGTCAACATGGCAACAGGTGTTTTCGGCATTAAGCCACCTGTAAGCTACAAACGGAACTGATTTACTTTCTTTGGTGGGTGCACCCCTCGCAGAGAATGATTCTAAAGAGAAACAATTCCCGCTCACAACCCGAGACTCAAACCCCAGTGATCCTCTCAACCCACCCTGGGTCAATTCTGAAAAAGAGCAGATTTATATCCGCCTCCTGCTGACAATGACTCACCACGAGGTGCCTCAGGAACAGCCCTGCTAAACCCCTCACCCTGTGCCACCGCTTCTGCCACGCCCGCAAATCCAGCGCTCAGCCCGGCCCTGCACATCCGCTTCCACTGCTGCCTCCTCCGGCCCCGCCGCCCTGCACATCCACTGCACATCCAGAGTGGACCTGGTCATCTCCCGGTCAGTCTTGTTAACTGATACAGCTGTGCAGTTATTCCCCACGGGCGTTTGGGAACCACCAGGGAAAGGTTACAGCGCATTTTTGTTGGGGTGCTCATCCACAACTCATTCAGGACTTTTTGTGCTCCCTGGAATCATTGACGCTGATAATACTTGGGAGATTCACGTCATGGCTTGGACACCTCATCCTTCTTATCACATTAAAGCAGGAGAAAAGGTTTTATTTCACTGTGCAAGGTCTGAAGTGAGAGAGATGTCGCACTGGAGGTTTTGGCAGTACAAACGTACCACATATTATGTGGGCACAACAAATCTCTCGCAATCAGCCAATGCTGACTTGTCACTTTAAAGGGCAATGATTTACAGGTTTGGTGGAAACAAAAAAGGCCTGTTTGTGGTCAGCTGAGCCTGCAAGGAGCAGAAAACACAATTGAACCCCAAGCAGTGGTTCTGCAAAGGCCTTGGAAGGTTTTCAGAGGTGTGGGGTCGGGAACCCCTCCCCCTGCAGGGGCAGCTCAGAGGGAGCCAGTCAGGAAAGGCACCAACGGAACATTCCTGTCACTCTCCCCAGGGGACTCAGGGAGCCCTAAAAACATCTTCCCCCCTCACCGCCAAAAAAAAAAAAAGGTTTATTTTGTCCTTCCCCTCAGCATGGTGTGGCACTTCCCAGAAGGCAAACTCTGGGAATAACCACTGCCCCCTTTTCTCCTCCTTCCCTCAGCTTTTCTGTCTGAGCTGGCAGGGGCTGGAATATCCCTTGGGCTCATTGGGCTCAGCTGGCCTGGCTGTGCCCACCCCCAGCCCCTGGGTGGGGGGAATGTTGGGAGATAGCACTGATGCTGTGCCAGCCCTGCCCAGCAGGAGCCAAAACAGGGGCATGTTCTCTACCACTTGCCAGCTCCCCCTGCAGAGTCCAGCACTGGGAGGAGGCTGTGGGAAGAGGAACTCCAGCTCAGCCACACCCAACACAATCTCCACCTCTTATTCCACACCACTGGTGTCACACTCACATCCCACAGAACTGAGAGATCTTCTGACTCTTCCGTTGGATTGATTTCTCTGAACTGAAATCCCTTCTTGCCAACACACACAACTTCAACTCCATCCCATTTCTTTGAAAAATATTTCTCACTCAAAATGGAACAAAACAGTGGCCTATAGGACATCCTGCCCTCAAATGGATAACTCTAAACAGTAAAAAATAAAAAAAATGAGCCCCTGGTATTCAAGAAAAGCTTGTAGCTATTTCCTAAAAGCATCCGTGAGCCCTGTCAGCCAATTTCGTACCTGACAAGGGTTTGGAGGGGGTGCTTTGTCACGGGAAGCCCTGGAGGCCCATGGCACAGGGGTAGGGCTGCACTGTGGGGCTGTGGGGCGCTGGTTCTTTGGTTGCCAGGGGCCATTCCGGAATGGAGAGGATAGGCCGTGACCTCCCAGAGGAGGTGTTCCCTCGGGGGAGCTCTGCAGGGCCC